GGAATGGTCCTTTGCGGCGTTATGTTTCTTATGGAGCACGTCTTCTACAGCCACATTTGGCGTCGTATTCAAAAAGTGCAGCACTATAGCTGCTCCGCATTGTCTGTTTTGGTAAGATTTCATTTTAAACTCGTAATCGCATCAACTACGTCTTGATCGGCCTGCTTTGAAATTTACCCGGACGCAATAAAAGAGCCTACATTCCTCTTTCCTGCTTCTTCCATGTCTTACAGACGAGTCAATCCCTTCAAGACTTTTCGAGTTGCAAGAAAAGACACCCCTTTCAACAGCAACTTGAAGATCCTATGACCGTATGCATTTTAACCATCTTCCTTACAATTAGCCCACGCTTGAGAGGGTGCTACTTACTTTGGAAAGTAGCAATTCCAAACGCCACTAGTTGATTTTCATTTGATTGAGGACAGAGTACATCTCCATTCAAAGCATCAACTCATTTCCCAGGCGCGTTGAGGTTATCGCCAAAGTGTCTTCTTGAAATTAGCATTAGAGAGTATCTCAAGGCGCCTCCAGGTTGCTACTAGTTTTTAAAACAATTGCTGCCCAAAGTCAGTCCCATTCGATCGGTAATGATACGTCCTCAAGGTGTCATGAGAGGATACAAAAGATTACAAACTCCTACACATTGATCGTAACAACAAGTCTATTGGTTTCGAGTAATCGATCAAGTGGACAATTCCGACATCCCTCACATTTAAAATGGGAAAAACTTGATGGGTAACACACCTTAGTCGACCAGCATGGGAGCATAAACTTTCTCATATGATGCTGTTAAGCAAAGCGGGCGAGATGAGGCATGAGTGAGAAACCCTGTTGAATAAAATTTGACTAATTGCACGAAAAGAGCGCCACCGGTGCATACACGAGCCCTTCCATGAGCATTATCGAATGTATGCTACTTAAATTATTATGATTAATGAGGAGATCTTAGACTCTACAGAGAGTTAGACAAAGTTAGCAAAGACACTCTGCCTCATTTGCGCCTTTATAATAGATGTGCGAGGCTTGAGGGTAAAGCGCTGCGCATTAGCATAACTGTATGTTCTCAGCAAAAAAGGTTATTTCATCCCCGTCCTCATGCTTAAAAATGTCACATCCACTTGCCTCAACGTTTCAGAAGCCGAGCAAAGTATTTGACAGGCCCAATGAAGGGGTGAAGGAGAAGCAGGTCAGTTTGAGAGATGAAAGACGTCGCGAAGAGTGCACCAATTCAGCCTGTCTAAGCGAACGATATCGCAGTCAGCAGGAAATCGCCAGATTGTCACGCCACCTTCGACTCTTGCTTGACGAGATGGCTGCCAAAAATGAAGGCACTGAAAATCGACTCGGAAGGTGAGACTTGTATTTGGCCTTACT